AACTCCCAAACCCACTCACTAAACACAATACATTTACAAGTATATAATAATACACCTGTATATAGCGTACGTACGTATGTGTGTTTGTGCGAGAGTGTATAATCTCCTTTATACAACTGGGCATTTTGAAACCCCCACATGGCCAAAACATCCTCTCCACAACAAAATATTTGTTCCTTTAAAAAGCGAATAAATAAACAAGTCTTTTTAATTCTTAATGTGAACGATATTTATAGTAGTATGAGTAATGGTAGCAATCTTATGATGTTAGTTATAAACATAGACATCTTGGTGAAGACGACATCGAAAATGCTTATAACAAAAGAAACAATCATGCTTTTAAAGTATGAACGTACAAAACAGCTTTAAAAAACAAATAAAAACAATAAAAACAGAACAAACAAACCAAAAAAAAACCAAAAAAGAAAAGAAAAAAGAGATAGATCTACAACTCATTCTGTATCAGATTAATGAGCGAAAAGATCCAGATTTAATCCGATGACTGTGACGGGAATTGTAGGTTTGGATTTCAAATTGGCTGGGTGAATGAGGCAGGCAACGAAGGAAAGCGATGCGAAGCGCTTAATGACATTTACTCTGTGATATGAGAAATGGCACGTGAAAGGCTGTGATATTAATATTATACTGTTAAGAATAGATACGAACAGTCTTTCTGAATGAAACGTTCGCGCAGCAATAGCAGTGAAAATAAAATTACAGCTTGGAAATCTCCATGCATTGGTAGGTATAGTACTGGTTTTAAGGATATTTTCAACACAATGTGGTTCTTCAAAAGGTGCGTAATCCAGTTTTCATCCTGTAGGACCGAATTATGAACGTAAGCTAAACGTCATCCCCTCCCCACTAAAAAAATATTTTTTAAACCTCTTTTGTTAATACAAATTAGCCGAGCCCTTAAGAGAATATTATTTATGTGTAAGGGCAGACCCGGGATGAAAGGAATACAGCATCCTGAATATAAAAAAACAGAATTGCTCGATAAAATAGACTTCCCCAAAGCAGGAGTCGAACTCATTTATTATACACGCTACTGTTTAGCTTTTAGTTTCAGTAAGAGTTTTACAGTACTTGCAACACAATTAGGACATATAAGTGCCGTATACTAGAGGTGTTATTAGAGAGTAACAAAGAGGGAGAGATAATGACGATAGATATTTGATAGAAAAGACAGAGCAGATCACACCAGAGCGCTCGCCAACTACCCACGCATGCAAAGTTAGAGAGCCTGATCAGTAAGCAACATACACCTGGGCCGTTGGACATCCA